ATATTTTTACTAGAAAAATGTGGAGCTTTTTTTTTTTTAGTTTTCTTGTCAATTACTTAGTATTTCTGTCATTTATAATTATACTAATACATTTCCTAATTATATCTAACAAAGTTCTGTAAGATTGATGCAAAAAAAAATCTATAAATGTACATTTTTTATCTTTGCATTGTATTTTTTCTATAATAAAATATAAAAATATTGAAACATCCTTAAAACAACACACATATTTTTTCTAGTTTCTAGTCAGTTCTATTTCTAATTTCTAATTATTCTAATTAAATTAACAAAATTCGGAGGTTTATGCTTAAGTTTATTTGTATAGCGCTTTTCACGATACAAATTGTTGCAAAGCAGCTTTCCAGAAAATTACGTTTCTACAATATATTTAATAGTAGCTTATCAGTGGATGCCAGTTAATGAACATAAATTATTTGTAAATTTTGTGAAATCATGAAGATTTAATTTTTTTAATTTCACAATATTTTGTTATTATGTATACGTTATATAAAAATGTAATAAAAAATCTAATTCTATCTAAAATACCTGATAAAAGGTATTTGTTTGATTTCTGCACACACCTGTGATCCACTCCTGTCTCTGTCTGGAGTCGGGCGCACTGATTTCAAAGGTTTTGTTGAGCGTCTTGACGCAGAACATGCATCTCTTCCCGTCTCGGTCCGACAGCACCTGTGGATCACAGTCAGACGCCGCGTCACACACAGAAACGCTCCGGACGCAGAGACGAGCACCGTACCTCCACGCAGCAGTTCTGGTCCATCTCGATGACGCCCTTACAGTCCCTGCAGTCCTCGCTGGTGAAGTACGAGAGCGAGCCGGGCTTCAGACAGAACCAGCGCTCCGTCCAGTTCCTGCGCAGGTTACCCTTCTTCCACAGATAGCCCTGAAACAGGGGCGGATTTAGTGAATTGGGGGCCCCAGGCAAAATATAGGATTTTTTTTTTCCTTTTTTGTTGTGATGCTTGCTGCTGCACAATGGTGCCCCATAGTTGTGTGTGTGAGTGAGTGAGTGAGATGAGCGCACCTCCTTCAGCATGTTCCCCACCATCTCTCTGTACACCTTCTCCACAGCCACACTGATGCTCTCGCCGTCCACTCCTCGACTCGCAGCCGCCGCGTTCACCTCGTTCAGGAAGCTCCAGACGCTCAGCCCGTCCTCCAGCTCCACGCAGGTCAGCTCCACCGGCATCACGCTGCTGATCTTCCTCAGCAGATACTCCGCCTGAACACAGCACACATCACCGTTGCAGCTAATCATCTGCTTCCTCATGGGAGAAAAACACATCATATGCTTAAGGATGATTTATACTTCTGCGTCGGACCTACGCCGTAATCTTTACGCCGTAGGCTATGCGTCAGTTTTCATTTATACTTCTGCATCGTTGTCCGCGTCAACGTGCAGTACACATGCAAACCGCTAGTCAGCAGTGTCCACGGGCATGTTGCTGGTGTAATCCACAGTACCACGGCAAAAGCTGAAGAAGAAGCAGCTCGTCAGAGAAGCATTATAGCCGTGACAGCGGCAAATAAATATCAAATCATTAAATCATTATTTAAAACTACAAAAAGGAGACAACAACGGAACAGGAGATGATGGCATTCTTTCAATCTGCACAAGGACTTGTACCACGGCAGATCAACATTGTTTGTTGTGCACAACTACTGATATACAATGCTATGTAGTATAATAAATGATAAGACACTTGTTCTTTGCGTTGTTTTATTTTATATAAGAAGGTGTAACATTAAAATATATTAAAGTGCACATAAACACACACAAAACTCAAGTACATATGGAGGGACGGTCTTCTTCAGATGTTTGTGTGTGTGTGTCTGTGTGTGTGAGAGTGTGTGTGTGAGAGTGTGTGTGTGTGAGTGAGTGAGTGAGTGAGTGAGTGAGAGTGAGTGAGTGAGAGTGAGTGAGTGAGAGTGAGTGAGTGAGAGTGAGTGAGTGAGAGTGAGTGAGTGAGAGTGAGTGAGTGAGAGTGAGTGAGTGAGAGTGAGTGAGTGAGAGTGAGTGAGTGAGAGTGAGTGAGTGAGAGTGAGTGAGTGAGAGTGAGTGAGTGAGAGTGAGTGAGTGAGAGTGAGTGAGTGAGAGTGAGTGAGTGAGAGTGAGTGAGTGAGAGTGAGTGAGTGAGAGTGAGTGAGTGAGAGTGAGTGAGTGAGAGTGAGTGAGTGAGAGTGAGTGAGTGAGAGTGAGTGAGTGAGAGTGAGTGAGTGAGAGTGAGTGAGTGAGAGTGAGTGAGTGAGAGTGAGTGAGTGAGAGTGAGTGAGTGAGAGTGAGTGAGTGAGAGTGAGTGAGTGAGAGTGAGTGAGTGAGAGTGAGTGAGTGAGAGTGAGTGAGTGAGAGTGAGTGAGTGAGAGTGAGTGAGTGAGAGTGAGTGAGTGAGAGTGAGTGAGTGAGTGAGTGAGTGAGTGTGTGTGTGTGTGTGTGCTCACCTCCTCCGGCACGAGTGTGAGAGGATATCGGTCGTCTGCCAGGAAGTTGAAGAGACACCAGAGCCGCATAGCATCCTGATTGGACAGAACCCGGTGCGCGTCGGGATGGTAGTTTTTCTTGGAACAGAGAGTCCAGCACAGCTCGTCAACTTCCTCTTTAACAAACGTCCCCTCGGTTACCTGATGACACAACAAACAACAAAATCTCAATTTATTCTCCACGAAGGCAATGAGATTCAATGGAGACTTTGGTTTCTCCTGAGAAAAAGACCCCAGTGATCTGACACGTGTCTCCTCTGGAGTTTCAGATCAGATCTCAACGATGTCTCAAACTGTGCTCAGATTTGACATTCATTTGAATTGTGTTCACATTGAATCAAAATTGATCCTAAGCACTCAATAAAGTCTATGAGCCATGAAAGAGCAACCTCTGAGCAATAACTTTGCTCAAGACACTTTCCCAAATAAAATCTCTTTAATGTCTCAATTATTTCTCCAAGACAGCCGTGAAACTTTGCTGAAGTTACTTATGAAAAAAGACCCCAGTATTCTTGTGTCTCAACACTTTCTCAAACTGTGCTCAGATTTGTCTGCAATGAAACCTCAGAGATCTCAATATGAACGCAAACATTATTCACCAAATGCTCTGAGCTGCTCTCCACATTCATTCGTATTTTTTAGGAGAAACATCTGAGACAAAACTGATCCTGAGAACTCAGTGAGCAACGAAAGAGCAACTTCTGAGCAATAACATTTTCATCTAGGATTGCAATTTTGAGCAAGACATTTTCCCCAAATCCCTTCCCAAATGAAATCTCTTTAATATCTCAATAAATTCTCAAATAGCAGTGTTGATATTATATGGAGGCTTTTGATGAAGTTTCTTCTATGAAAAGACCCCAGTATAATCTCTTCTGTCTCAGCCATGTCTCTAAAGGTGCTCAGATTTGTCAAGATCTCAGAGTCTGCAATGAAAAGTCAGAGATCTAGATATGAACTCAGATATTTCTCATCAACTACTCTCCACATTCTTTTTATAGCTCCAAACTCTTACTAGGTTTTGGGTTATTTTCACCTAATTTCAGGAGAAACATTTGATACTTCAATGAAACATAAGCGAGAGTCTCGTGAGCATTGAATGAGCATCCTTTGAGAGTGTGCTTGTGTTGCGGTACCTTGTCCAGTATGAACTGGTTCAGGTAGGGCATGTACCCCTGACTGGATACGGGACCGTCATCATCATCGCTGAAGTGTCTCTCGAGGGCTGCAGGGTCGTGAGGAATCCTCAAAACACTGTGAAGGTTATGAGACAAAACCTGCACACACACACACACACGGTCTGACTGCAGCTTTTGTTTGATGCAGATCTGTCTAAAGCCACAGAGTGTGAGTCAGATTAACTAGAACAGCAGTTTCACAAACTCAGATATCTAAATGGGTACACTCCTGCTTTGTTATATAAAGACTTTATGATACAGACGAACACAAACCATAAAGAGAAACCTCTGCTGCTTGTGTTTGATGCAGATCCGTCTAAAGCCACAGAGTGTGTCAGATTAACAGTTTCATAAAAAGAGAACATACAGTACACTCCTGCTGCGTTATATAAAGACATTTATGAACACAAACCATAAAGAGAAACTACCTTAAATCAAACTAGACCAGACCACTTTACAGTCATATAAAGTACACTGATGTAATGATGGGTGAAAACATTGGCTGTGTGCTTACAAACACTACAACTTAACACATAATGTACACAGTAAGCAACATTTACACATAATATGCATAAACAAGACAGATATTGTTATAATTAAGGTATAAATTAAGGTAAATACTGCATAAGGTAAAAATGTACCTTATCAATCACTTTAATCTTTATGGACGTCCCTAAAGTGAGCTTTTGAGACTTACATGCATATCTACACAAACAAACACCTGTCTCTGTCTCACACCTGTCTCACCTTGAGCTGTGATTTGGACACTTTGCCGCTGTCTTCGGTGTCCAGGGATGTGAAGGCGTACCAGATTCTCTTCAGCAGAGCGGCTCTCAGCGCCATGTCTCACACCTGATGATTTGACTCTCTTATTTCTCCTCTCCTTCATTCTCTCTGAGTCTGGCCACATCCTGCAGGTGTTTGCTGAACTCTGGTGCCTCCTGTCTGCAGTCCTGAGATCAGTTCACAGTGACACATTACCATACTAGTACTGTTGCTACAGCATGCTTGTATTAGTTAATACAATTATTTATTGACTTTGGAAACATCATGACCTTTTGAAAGTGGATTTCCTTCAGCTTTAAACATAATTCAGCTGACTGACAGACAGACAGACAGACAGACAGATAGACAGATAGATAGATAGATAATC